TACCACTTTTGCCATTTGAGAATCAACCCATGTTTCCGAATTGAGAAACTGGGGCTCCCTCATTCAAAAGTGAAATATTATTTTTTTTTAAAAATGAAACTATAAGCCATACACCGTGCAACTATTACAAATTCGTGTTGCAGTGCACAAGATAGTTTACCGCAATTTACTTGATTTAAGCCTTGTTCACTTCACTTTACAAAATTATTCATTAAAGATAATTGTAAAAATAAGTTTAATTCTATAAAAATAGTATTAGTCCAGTAATTCTAAATTTATTTCAGTAAAAATTCAATAAATATAAATATAATAGAGAATCCACAAAAAATATACTACGTATTAAGGTGAAGTGAACCGGTCACAATTGCCCAAACAACCAAACCCGGCTATTTGTCGTGGTTGCTGAAAACCGTAAAATTTCAAAACGTGGTTCGGGTGCCAATGAAATTTCAAAATGTGGGTTCGTAATTCAGCTTCGGACCACCGTTGTAACACCAAACCTCTTTAAGCTTCTTCCTCTTCCTCTCCCCACCACACTTCTTTGAATCTCCTTTGTTTTTCCTTCGATTCTCAAACTTTATTCTCATTGTCCCTCAAAAACCCATTTCTTAAAATCACAGATTTTTCCCTCTTTTGCTCGATTTTTGGTCAATCAATCTTCACTGATTTTGCGTTCTTTAATTTGAACTTCAGATTCTGGGTATTTTTCTTCTTTACCCTACTCAATTTCTTGCCGCTTTACTTTGTTTTTAATTTCTCTATAAATTTCTTCATTATAATTAAGTTTTTTTGCAGCAAAAAACAAAAAAAAAAAACCCTTGATTTTTATTTTCTGAAGTTTAATTTCAAACAGCTTCAATCTAATTTGCGGAAGTTGTTGTTATCGATGAAGGGTGATAAATCGATTAAGAGCTCAACATTTAGTAAAATGAGGAAAAGATTGTCTGATATTAGCAATTTGCATTCTCAACACAAATCGCCTTTCAAGAATCAGGAGAATGTTTTACCTGTTCCGGATAATTCTTCCAGTAAAATTTACATGGAAAAAATTCTTCAGGTGAATTCCTTTCTGCTATTCTCTTAGAATTTCTTCGTCTTTTTTATGGTTGATTTGAGTTCCATTTGCAATTTTGAATTGTATGTTTTGAAATTGTGAATTAGGGAATTGGGTTTAGTTTATAATTTGATGAATTTTGCAAATTTGTGAATTTGGGAAATTGGTTTAGTATACAATTTGATGGAATTTTTATGTTATGCATTTGTGATTTAGGGAATTAGGTTTACTTTACAATTTGTGTTTTTTTAGGAATAGAGTTTAGTTTATAGTGATGAACATTGTAAAATTTGTGATTTTGAGAAATGGGCTTTGAAGTTCTGATTTAGGGAATTAAGTTTAGTTTACAATTTGTGGTTTTTTAGGGTTTTAAATTAGTTTATTGATGGACATTATACAGCTTGAATTTGTTAATTGGGAGAAATGGGATTTGTTTACTATCCAAGGAGCATTATGATTTAGTGCAGTGGGTTTAATTTATACAACCTAATGAGCATTCTATGTTTTGAATTTGTGATTCAGGAAAATGCTGTGATGAAGAAACTTTTAGAAGAGAAAGAGTATCCTTCATTTTCAATTCTGTTTGAATTTTGGCTTTGCTTGCTTTATGGATTATGTTATGCTGTTCTTATTTAATGAATTGTTAGAGTGAATCTCAGAAAATAATGTCAGAAGGATAATGTTAAGAGTAAATTATACTTGGAATGCCAAGTTGGACGTTAAACATCTTCAGAATTTCCTTAATGAATGTTGTAAAGTAAAATTATTGAATCGAATGGAGTTGAGCTGCAGAAGCTGAGAGTTATTCTTCAGAGAACACAGCTGCAGAATTGGCATCTTGCTCAAAGCAATACTCAGATGTTAGCGGTTGGTGCATCCTTTTCATGCAGGCAATGGTTGTTTAAAGTTAGTTTTTTAGCTGAGTGGAGTGTTGATTTTCTTTTATTTATGTGTGCAGGAACTTAACATGGGTAAAGATAGGGTAAGTAAGAACATGTAACTGCTTATATAGAGATTGGTGAAGGAATCCCGTCTCCTTGACATTTTAGAGAACTTTTTTGATGAACCGATTAATCTGATTGATATCCAGTTGAAAACCCTACAACATGAGCTTCTCAGCAAGGATGCCTTGTCTAAAGCAATGGCTCTTGAACTAAAGGTGCGTAGTATTAGATTGCATGAAAACCTTAAGAGAAAACTTAGCCTCATGCATTTAGTATAATAATTCTTTGATTCAAACTTTTGTTAATGGTTGAAATGCACTGGGAAAATAAATTGTTTTTGCTTTGAGACGTTAAAGTTAATTCATCTGAGCTTTAATCCTTCTACAAATTTCAGAAATACCAGATAGCTGAGGGTCCTCTTTCTGTTTGCTTTAAATTGCAGGAAAAAACAAACGTGCGCTGTAAAACAAATGGCTTGCAGGTATCTTGGAAATTGGCACTTTGGCAGTGAACATGTGTGCAAGTAGCCGGTATTGTGAATGTGTGAACTTTTTTGCTATTTGTGATCTTTTTCTAATTGATAATGGTTTGTTGGTGAAGAAAGGAGAGCCTAAACCAGAAGAAGCAGATGTGGAGCAACCACTGAAGGACAATGAGAACAAAGTATCCAAAACGAAAAGAGAACGCCCTGCAAGAAGTCAATGTAATTTGCTTCTTCTGATTTATATGTGTTTGTAATTTTGATCCTGAGCACCAATACATGTTTTCTGTGTGTTAACACATTCATATCTCACTCTTGCAGCCATGGGACCTACAACGTCTCAGCAAGCTGTTGATAAGGAGACGGTGGAAAACAAAAGGTCAGATGTGTAGTCTGGTTGATTTTAGTATTCTCTGTAGTTTATATCCCATTTTCTTCTCTTCATATTACTCGTATAAAAGAGTGAGTATGATATGTATTATGTTGGAGGATATATGCTGTCTTGATGCCCTTTTATTTATCCGTTTTGTAAAGTGGCCAGGCAATATTACTCGCATAACTGTGTCTCATCCTTTTCCTATAAATGAGTTAGATTGGTTCTTGATTATGTAGAGAAAGAATGAATAAATTACAAGCAATAATATTTATGAATAAATAGTCCTGAAATCATGCTTGCTAGCACGTCTTAAAGTTTATGTGATGGAGTTATTGGAGAATTTTGAGATCTTGTATATTATGTGTTCAGGCGTTGTTTGAGGAGGCAATCAGCGAGGTTGAAGCCCTCAGGGAAACAAGATGACTTGTTTGAGATTGAAGTGGGAAAAGATGCTGCCAACCAGACTACACATTTCTCACGTCATAAATCAACCTCTGATAAAGCTGATGATGAAGAGTGTCTCTCAGAGTCATCAAATAGTACAACAGCACAACGTTTATCAATTGGAAGGCCACAGCGCAGGGTTACAGAAAAAGTTCAGTCATACAAGGATCCTCCGCTTAATAAAAAGATGAGGAGACCAGCTTAGTAATCCTGCATCTATATCAGCCCGTGTAGATTCGTTTGGAAGGCCAACTAGGCATTTCTCACGTCGTAAATCAACCTCTGATAATGCATAGCCTATGATGTCCATGGCTTTGGAAATTATGGCTTGTTGTAGATTTGTGATAGCTATCCTTTCTAATACTGAAGTAGTTAGGATATTTTTGTCTGATCTTATTGTAACATATTTGAGCTTCTGACTTTACTATGCAGGGTTTATGCAATATCAGCTTCTGAAATGTTGCAACCATTATTACAGTGTAGAATTGTTAATTGCAGTAGGTCAGTACTGTTAGCTTCCAATAGTAGGCTGGATAAGTCATCCAGCAATTCATGCTAGTACGTAGAAGGTTTATTGCTAGAAGCTAAGCCTTAAAATAATTGATTCTAGTTAAATTGAAGTGCAACCCTAACCTAATTTTAACTACTCCAATTTAAGTTACTTCTCTTTCATTTGTTTTTTGCATGTCAAATTGTTTATTGTAAGTCATTCTATGTTGATTTGGTCCTATTTATATGTTGCAATAAGGTTTCTGTTAGGATGCATTTGGGAGGATTATGTTCTATTCTCAATGACTAATAACATAACCTAGGTCTTATATTAAGAGGCAAAATTTGAACCGTCGACTTTACGTATGGACTAATGATGGTGTACAAATATTATTAATGTCGTCTCAAGTATATTTAGAATCTGTTCTTTACACCTTATACGGCAAGGGGTGTAACAATTTCTCTTAATATCATTTCTTATTGCCTGTCCATTTTAACTATAATTTGACTATGTTTTTACACAATATGTGGGAAATATCAATTTAGATATTGATAGATTGTTCCAATATGTAATTTCAAATTTCGTAATATTCATAATTCCAGTTTACACACAACTAAAGATAGTTTGATAATAAGTAAACAAAGATTAAAATTTTTGATCTTTATCAACAATATGCAATAATTTTCCGAAATAAGTTGAGGATGGATAACAACTAACAAGTTATCAATCAAAAGAATCGTTGAATACACTTCCTCTTGAATAGACCATTGCAGACTTTGGATGACTAGACCCAAAAGAAGCAACACAGCTCACAATCCAAGACTCCAAGCAAGAGTGGAAGACATACTAGAATCATGTTAGTTTACTCCGTAAAAAGCAAGTTCGGCTACAGCTACACAAGTCTTTGATTGACGGTTGACACCACTATTAATACATCTATATTTATACTCCATCCGTCCCTTAAAGATTGCTTCAAATTCCAATTCTACTTATTTTGTGTACATGAATGGATACAATTATTGACGAAAAAAGAGATAGAAAGAACAATTGGTTGTACGTAGGAAAATTTACCAAGTCGGATAGGACCTTTTTAAGTTTTTAAGGATATTCATCTTTTATATAGTACGAAATACTACGTATAGAATATGAGATTATCTTGAAGTAACTGTCTTCCAAACATATATGGAGCATGGAATGTAGGACTAGCCGTCTAGCCCTTATATTTTTTCCAGCTATATTTTGGCTTTTTTTGGGTTTGTCTAAACCAACTCCACCTTACTTGTTTTACAAATTTCTTCCTCCCACTTTATACTGCAGAAAAAATTAAAATAAACTGCCCCATTTTCTACCCACAAACAGTACCTAAACTACCATTTTGTCACCCTTATAAGAGGTAGGTACCACTAAAACTACTCTTAAGTCTTAACCCCCAACACTTTATTCCATTTTCTTCTCATTTGCAGGAAATTATGGAAACACTGAGAACTCCTCTTCTCAATTGGCCTTACTACTATCAAGGCAAGGTAAACACCTTACTAATACTACTACTCTTACTTCGTCCAAATTTAGCTGTCACATTACTAGTTCAAATTATAGTTAGAACGAGCATTGGCGAGTTTATTCATCTACTAGTATATTGTTTTTGTACTAAAAATTTTTGTGTAATATTTGTATGCAGAGTATAGAAGAGCTAAAGCATTCATTGATATGCACAACACTGGAGCTAGAAACAACAAAATTAGCAGCTCAAGAAGAGATTAGGAAGAGGGAAGAACAATTAACCCATCTTCAAGAATTGCTTAACAAAGCAATTACTGAAAAGAATGAAGCTCAAGAAAATTGCAAAACCCTTCTCCTTGAAAAACTCTACATCCAACAACAACAACAAATGGTTCCGCCTCAAGTACACTCAGGATCATCTTCAAGCATTGAAGATGAGCCTACAACAGCAACAACAACAACAACAACAAAAAGAGTGTTTTCCAAGAACAACAACAACAACAACAACAACAATGGAGGTAATTTCTCGTCTTCAGATGGTGAAGAGAGCATAATCTCTTCACCATCATCGCCATTGCCATTGCCATTGCCACTGCAACCTTCACCATCTGCTTTGTCGGAAACTGCCCTGACTCTGTTAACACCCAAGAAGCCGTTACCCGAAAAGGGGAAACTCTTACAGGCTGTGATAAAAGCAGGACCATTACTTCAGACTCTGCTCTTAGCAGGACCATTGCCTCAGTGGAGACACCCGCCACCGCCTTTGGAGAATTTCGACATTCCTCCGGTGACGATACCGGCTGCTGCAGTCACTCAGCCAGAGTTGGTTCATCAACAAGAGTTTCTTCCTAATGTTTGTGGCAATGTTAACAGAAAAAGAGGATTTTCTGATGGTTTTTCTTCTGAGGCTAGTAAGTACCAAAGGGTACTTCTTCATTAGTACTAAATCTACTAATTATGATTTTTATGACAGTAATTTTTTAGCAACAAATGCAGCTACTAAGAGCTAGATTTGTGGGGTTTTTTACTTTTTAGTATATTTTTTGCCAATTATTTGGTGAAGGAAGAAGTGGTTAATCACAATCACACTCCTTAATTTAGTAGATTATTAGGAAAAACACTTGTTTACTAAGAGTAGTTTCAGTGCTAAGTTTGATCAGTTTTTTCTTGAAGCTTGTTAGAGATATGAGATATAATCAATATTGGAATGTATGATACTATCTTTAGTGTGTTTCAAAGATTTCAGTTGAATTTGGTCCCTTATTGCTGAGCTGTAGTATGAACAGTTGAAGCTGTAAATGACGAGCAAATTAGTGGTTTAGCTGTCTTTAAGGGCATCTTTAAGGGTAAACTATTTAATTGTTCACAATGAATAAACAAATAAAGTGGTGGCTTAATGGCAAACCTTTAATGGTTCATGTTGAGTGGTCATGGGTTCGATTGCAGGAGCAAGCATTTCCATGAATTAATTCGCTGTGGGCCCCACCAATATTTTGGACTGGTATTATAGCAAAACGACGTCGTTTTGCTGTTTCATGGTGCAAAACGACGTCGTTTTGCTGTTGAAGCTCAGAAAAAAAATAGAAATCAGCGGCTGGGAGCGCGCCACTTGGCCCAGCCGCTGCTTGACACGTGTGCACTGTTTTAAATATATCCGTTGTAATTTTGCAACGGATATATTTTACAAAATACAAATCAAAAAAAAAAAAAAAATTACCAACGACTCTATTTTTTTCCCCTCTATAAATAGACACCCATATTGATATATTTTTTTCAACTTTCAAAATTCATTTTTTTCTACTATATTTTTCTCTTCAAAAATCCCCTCTATAATTACCAATATTATTATTATTATTTATACCAATATTAATATTATTATTGTTATTATTATTTTTAATTATTATCATTAATATTATTATTAATATTATTATTATTATTATTATTATTATTGTTTTTATTATTATCGTTATTATTATTATTATTTTTATTATTATCGTTATTATTATTATTATTATTATTATTGTTATTATTATTATTATTATCGTTGTTATTATTATTATTATTATTATCATCGTTGTTGTTGTTATTATTATTATTATTATTATTATTATTATTATTATTATTATTATTATTATTATTATTATCGTTATTATTATCGTTATTATTATCGTTATTATTATTATTTCTATTATTATTATTGTTATTATTATTATTATTATTATTAAATTTTTATTTTTTCCAAATATAAATTATAATTATGGATGCTAATACCAACCCCAAAACAAATAGAAAGCAAAAAAAAAAATTTGGGTCAAAATATGATCCCGAATCAAGCTAATTTTCCTCCAATTCACCCAAATTTTTCACAAACATCCACAAATATTCCCCATAATTTTTCTGGAGTTTATCCTCAAATACCCCAGTCAAGTTTCCCATATAATCCACCAAATTTCCCTCAAAATTTTAATTTTTCTCAAAGCAGTTCAAATTTCCCACATCCATCCATGATACCAATGGGTTACGGTGAATATGGTGTTGCATCTGGTTATTTTCCGTCACAACAACCGAATCCCAATATTTGGGAATCGAGCAATGTCTTATCTGAAGAAGATGAGGCAAATGAAGAATGTGAGGATGATGGTGAGGGAAATGAAACTCCTTCTCCCCATCAAAACTTCAGTCAAATGTTACAGCAACCACTCCAATCAACTCCTGAATATCGTGTTGGTGGTTCAAACAATAGAGGTTGGTCGCGATCAAAAACTGCGGCTCTTATATCCGGCTACATGAACACCAGCACCGACATAATTATCGGCACAAATCAAAAGAAGGGTGTATTTTGGAAGAGAGTCTTGGACGCATACGATGCTGCCAGGGAATCGAATCCAGATGAAATATCCCTACGAACTATTAGTAGTTTGAAGGGAAGGTGGATGCGAATCTCTGAAGCCGTGTTAAAGTGGTGCGGAAGCTATGATAAGGCCCGGAAGCGAAAGGGAAGTGGCTATAACGAAGATGATGTTATCCAAGAGGCCCACAAAATACCAATGAGTTTATGAATGCTAGAGGGAACGCTAATGAGGACACTACCGAGTACCGTACTGATCGTATTGTGGATATCGGCTTATACTTGTCTCGTAGAACAGAGATTGAGGATCAACAGACTCATTTGCAGCTAAAAAACGACTTGGTCGAACATATATGGAATAAATTTGGTAACAACGAAAACTTAGGCAACTAGGTTTACAACAAATGGTTATCCCTAAGGACATCTTACAAAACGATGTGTAGTTGTGTTTTTTTTTTTAAATAAAATGTACTAGATTATAGTTGTAGAACTGTAATCACGATTTGTACCTCCTTTTTTTTATGTTAATTAAAATTAGCTTTGTTTAAAAAATATTAATCACAAGAATTAATTTTTTAAAAAGCTGATAAAAAAACGCGATAATTTCTTAATTAGTAATCACGATTAAAATATTAAATACGTCAATTAATTACATTGACATTGGTTAATAAATTATAATTATGAAACAAAAAGATTATATTTACAAAAATAAAATAAGGTGGGGTAGGGAGTATTGATGATGAACCATTGTTTAGTGTTTATTGTTAAGAGTGAATATTGTAAATGGTTTGTTGGGTTGATGTGGATGAGAGAGAAATGGTGATAGTGACCCATGAACCATTTTTTTTTGTTCACCAATAATGGTGCTCTAAGATTTGGTACTGGTGAAGTCAGAAATGCAATGATAGGGAGTATTATTTTGTCAAAGGAATTCTTGGACTACTTTTTTAGTTGTGATTTTTCATCAAGGATAAAGTTCTTTAAGAAAGTGTCCTAAAGTAATTTATAAATTTATAAAATTAACAAATTGGGTATCCGGTTAAAATTTTAATAATTGGACTCGGAATTGGTTGGGATCGGTTCCTAAAACATATGGAGTATATTAATATATGTCGGGTAATTAAGTACCCAACCGGTTTCGATTTTAAAAAAATAAGAATTGATATCTAAATTGGTTGCAACTAATTCTTAATTTTATTACCCGAAATTGAAACCAGTAGGTCCAATTTCAAATATTTGCACATCTCTAACTACGAGTACAATATAAGTATATAGTAACACTTTAACTAAACAATCATTTTCACATTTGATTTCATGTTGATTTCAAATTGTAATCCCGCGAAATGTATCAAGAATCATAAAGACATGATAGTTACTAAGTTATATAATACACATTATCTATATGAAAAGTAACTTACGAAGCACAATATTAAACAAATAAATTCGTGTTATAGCTAGTCACGTCTTTCTGTTTACAAATTGATGCGTTCACATTGCTGTAAACAACGTTATATCTGATTTGAGTCATGTCCACAAAACTCAACCTGGGTGTGTTTAACTTTCATCTAATCAAATCAAATGCTCAAAAAAATCCAAAATTAATTTTGTCTTTTATATTTTTTGATATAGGAAAAAAGAAAAGTAGGGGTAAAATGGTTGAAAAAAAAAATGGGAAAGGGAGAAAAAGATGGAGTCTACAATAGAAATGGTGTAGTTTTAGGTGTGGACTGAAAATAAAAGATTAGAAATAAATTTGTTTGGATTTGAGTATTGGCTACCAACTAGGGAGGCTAACGGGCTAATCTGTCGGGTAAAGTGGGTTCCACGGATCACCACCGAAATCTGGAGCCCAACCATAACAGTACTCTATTACTAAACTATAAACCTAATTATGTTATTAGTCTTGTCAACATGAATCTCCATTACTTTTTAATTTTTAAAATTTATATGGAATATTTTTTATTTGTAACAATATATTGCTTGGTTGATTCTATCTGTTCCCACTATCTCATTATTAATGAAAAAAAAACACCGCACTTTAAAGGTATGTCCACTTCAGCTTAATTTCATTTCAGCTTCAATCAGCTCAGTTTATTTCAGTTCAGCTCTTAATTTCCTTCTTCTCTTAAAATATTCATTTCAACTCTATTCAGTTCAGTTCAGCTCCAATCAGTTCAATTCATCTTAATTTAATGAATATGAATATGCCCTAAATCTCATTAATATGATCACATTTCTTACCATTTTAGGCAATAGTAATTGATAGAATATAAGACATATTCATTGGTCTTAACCATCAGTTTAAACTTTTGGTTAAACTCTAGGAATATGTTTTATACTCTATCAGTATTTATGTCATCTACCTACACGTAAATATATCATTATATCTTTAACGCTTTGTTTGGATAGCAAAGAAGGAAGGAAAAGAAGGGGAGGGAAAATGGAGGAAGGGAAGGGAAAAGAAAGGGAGAGGGAGGTGAGCTCCATTTTCCCTGCAAATCTCTCCAATTTTGGAGAGATCATGGTTATTATAGAGAAAGGGAAAATGGATCCCTCCCTCTCCTTCCCTTTCCTTCCCCCAATCTTTTACCCAAACAAGAGATTTTGTCCCCCTCCATTTCTTCCTATCCAAACAAAATGTAAGTAAGTACCAAAAAAGGATAAAAAAATAATTATGTAGCTAGAAAATATGAATAAAGCGGGATAGCCTCAACAATTCCAAAACAATGAATAATTATTCTTTTAACTCCTTTTTTTTTAAACTAATATTATGTTTCAAAGTAGGGTGCAACACCCGAGCCACACACGAGTTATAAAATTAAATCGAAACATATTAACACTTATTTTTATCAATGGTAAAATCATTTCAACTAATTGTTCCTTACCTAATATACTATCTTTCAGAAAATGTGTGCCAAAATAGTGTGTCGAAAATAAATAAAATGAAGATAATAAACACATTCTCTCAAACAAGTTCCATGATATCTAATCACTATTACGGATATAAAATGGGGAGCGATGCTACTACTCCACCACCTCAATCTCAAACTGATATACCCCTCCTATTAGGTTGTGTCGAACAACATAAAATAGTGGGTCGTGTACTCATGTTATGTAATTATTTTGACTTGTAATGTATATGTCATATACTCATATAAAAAATCAAGTTGATGAGTTAATATAGAGTTACTTTTTTATTTGAACAAAAAAAAATAAAATAAACTCAAGATTGATAGAAAGATAAATATTTTCCTAAATTACCTCGTATATATATATATATAATTTTTGCATGCCCCCGGTTTACAATAATTTTATTGTACATCGAACATTTTGCGAAAAGTGACCTTTTTTTCTTACAAAAGTGACATTTTT